AGACCCAGCAAGACTGGTAAATTTTAGAGAGAGTTGGGTGGAAATCCACCCCGTGGTGGCAGGGGGAGAGACAGACCCAGCAAGACTGGTAAATTTTAGAGAGAGTTGGTGGAAATCCACCCCGTGGTGACAGGGGGAGAGAAAGACCCAGCAAGACTGGTAAATTTTAGAGAGAGTTGAGTGGAAATCCACCCCGTGGTGACAGGGGGAGATAGAAAGACCCAGCAAGACTGGTAAATTTTAAAGAGAGTTGGGTGGAAATCCACCCCGTGGTGACAGGGGGAGAGAAAGACCCAGCAAGACTGGTAAATTTTAGAGAGAGTTGGGTGGAAATCCACCCAGTGGTGACAGGGTGAGAGAAAGACCCAGCAAGACTGGTAAATTTTAGAGAGAGTTGGGTGGAAATCCACCCCGTGGTGACAGGGGGAGAGAAAGACCCAGCAAGACTGGTAAATTTTAGAGAGAGTTGTGTGGAAATCCACCCCGTGGTGACAGGGGGAGAGAGAAAGACCCAGCAAGACTGGTAAATTTTAGAGAGAGTTGGGTGGAAATCCACCCCGTGGTGACAGGGGGAGAGAAAGACCCAGCAAGACTGGTAAATTTTAAGAGAGAGTTGGGTGGAAATCCACCCCGTGGTGACAGGGGGAGAGAAAGACCCAGCAAGACTGGTAAATTTTAGAGAGAGTTGGGTGGAAATCCACCCCGTGGTGGCAGGGGGAGAGACAGACCCAGCAAGACTGGTAAATTTTAGAGAGAGTTGGGTGGAAATCCACCCCGTGGTGACAGGGGGAGAGAAAGACCCAGCAAGACTGGTAAATTTTAGAGAGAGTTGGGTGGAAATCCACCCCGTGGCGACAGGGGGAGAGAAAGACCCAGCAAGACTGGTAAATTTTAGAGAGAGTTGGGTGGAAATCGACCCCGTGGTGGCAGGGGGAGAGAAAGACCCAGCAAGACTGGTAAATTTTAGAGAGAGTTGGGTGGAAATCCACCCCGTGGTGACAGGGGGAGAGAAAGACCCAGCAAGACTGGTAAATTTTAGAGAGAGTTGAGTGGAAATCCACCCCGTGGTGACAGGGGGAGAGAAAGACCCAGCAAGACTGGTAAATTTTAGAGAGAGTTGGGTGGAAATCCACCCCGTGGTGGCAGGGGGAGAGACAGACCCAGCAAGACTGGTAAATTTTAAAGAGAGTTGGGTGGAAATCCACCCCGTGGTGACAGGGGGAGAGAAAGACCCAGCAAGACTGGTAAATTTTAGAGAGAGTTGGGTGGAAATCCACCCCGTGGTGACAGGGGAGAGAAAGACCCAGCAAGACTGGTAAATTTTAGAGTTGAGTGGAAATCCACCCGTGGTGACAGGGGGAGAGAAAGACCCAGCAAGACTGGTAAATTTTAGAGAGAGTTGGGTGGATATCCACCCCGTGGTGACAGGGGAGAGAAAGACCCAGCAAGACTGGTAAATTTTAGAGAGAGTTGGGTGGAAATCCACCCCGTGGTGACAGGGGGAGAGAAAGACCCAGCAAGACTGGTAAATTTTAGGGAGAGTTGGGTTGAAATCCACCCCGTGGTGACAGTGGGAGAGAAAGACCCAGCAAGACTGGTAAATTTTAGAGAGAGTTGGGTGGAAATCCACCCCGTGGTGACAGGGGGAGAGAAAGACCCAGCAAGACTGGTAAATTTTAGAGAGAGTTGGGTGGAAATCCACCCCGTGGTGACAGGGGGAGAGAAAGACCCAGCAAGACTGGTAAATTTTAGAGAGAGTTGGGTGGAAATCCACCCAGTGGTGACAGGGGGAGAGAAAGACCCAGCAAGACTGGTAAATTTTTGAGAGAGTTGGGTGGAAATCCACCCCGTGGTGACAGGGGGAGAGAAAGACCCAGCAAGACTGGTAAATTTTAGAGAGAGTTGAGTGGAAATCCACCCCGTGGTGACAGGGGGAGAGAGAAAGACCCAGCAAGACTGGTAAATTTTAGAGAGAGTTGGGTGGAAATCCACCCCGTGGTGACAGGGGGAGAGAAAGACCCAGCAAGACTGGTAAATTTTAGAGAGAGTTGAGTGGAAATCCACCCGTGGTGACAGGGGGAGAGAGAAAGACCCAGCAAGACTGGTAAATTTTAGAGAGAGTTGGGTGGAAATCCACCCCGTGGTGACAGGGGGAGAGAAAGACCCAGCAAGACTGGTAAATTTTAGAGAGAGTTGGGTGGAAATCCACCCCGTGGCGACAGGGGGAGAGAAAGACCCAGCAAGACTGGTAAATTTTAGAGAGAGTTGAGTGGAAATCCACCCCGTGGTGACAGGGGGAGAGAAAGACCCAGCAAGACTGGTAAATTTTAGAGAGAGTTGGGTGGAAATCCACCCCGTGGTGGCAGGGGGAGAGACAGACCCAGCAAGACTGGTAAATTTTAGAGAGAGTTGGGTGGAAATCCACCCCGTGGCGACAGGGGGAGAGAAAGACCCAGCAAGACTGGTAAATTTTAGAGAGAGTTGGGTGGAAATCGACCCCGTGGTGGCAGGGGGAGAGAAAGACCCAGCAAGACTGGTAAATTTTAGAGAGAGTTGGGTGGAAATCCACCCCGTGGTGATAGGGGGAGAGAAAGACCCAGCAAGACTGGTAAATTTTAGAGAGAGTTGAGTGGAAATCCACCCCGTGGTGACAGGGGGAGAGAAAGACCCAGCAAGACTGGTAAATTTTAGAGAGAGTTGGGTGGAAATCCACCCCGTGGTGGCAGGGGGAGAGACAGACCCAGCAAGACTGGTAAATTTTAAAGAGAGTTGGGTGGAAATCCACCCCGTGGTGACAGGGGGAGAGAAAGACCCAGCAAGACTGGTAAATTTTAGAGAGAGTTGGGTGGAAATCCACCCCGTGGTGACAGGGGAGAGAAAGACCCAGCAAGACTGGTAAATTTTAGAGTTGAGTGGAAATCCACCCGTGGTGACAGGGGGAGAGAAAGACCCAGCAAGACTGGTAAATTTTAGAGAGAGTTGGGTGGATATCCACCCCGTGGTGACAGGGGAGAGAAAGACCCAGCAAGACTGGTAAATTTTAGAGAGAGTTGGGTGGAAATCCACCCCGTGGTGACAGGGGGAGAGAAAGACCCAGCAAGAGTGGTAAATTTTAGAGAGAGTTGGGTTGAAATCCACCCCGTGGTGACAGGGGGAGAGAAAGACCCAGCAAGACTGGTAAATTTTAGAGAGAGTTGGGTGGAAATCCACCCCGTGGTGACAGGGGGAGAGAAAGACCCAGCAAGACTGGTAAATTTTAGAGAGAGTTGGGTGGAAATCCACCCCGTGGTGACAGGGGGAGAGAAAGACCCAGCAAGACTGGTAAATTTTAGAGAGAGTTGGGTGGAAATCCACCCAGTGGTGACAGGGGGAGAGAAAGACCCAGCAAGACTGGTAAATTTTTGAGAGAGTTGGGTGGAAATCCACCCCGTGGTGACAGGGGGAGAGAAAGACCCAGCAAGACTGGTAAATTTTAGAGAGAGTTGAGTGGAAATCCACCCCGTGGTGACAGGGGGAGAGAGAAAGACCCAGCAAGACTGGTAAATTTTAGAGAGAGTTGGGTGGAAATCCACCCCGTGGTGACAGGGGGAGAGAAAGACCCAGCAAGACTGGTAAATTTTAGAGAGAGTTGAGTGGAAATCCACCCCGTGGTGACAGGGGGAGAGAGAAAGACCCAGCAAGACTGGTAAATTTTAGAGAGAGTTGGGTGGAAATCCACCCCGTGGCGACAGGGGGAGAGAAAGACCCAGCAAGACTGGTAAATTTTAGAGAGAGTTGGGTGGAAATCCACCCCGTGGTGACAGGGGGAGAGAAAGACCCAGCAAGACTGGTAAATTTTAGAGAGAGTTGGGTGGAAATCCACCCCGTGGTGGCAGGGGGAGAGACAGACCCAGCAAGACTGGTAAATTTTAGAGAGAGTTGGGTGGAAATCCACCCCGTGGTGACAGGGGGAGAGAAAGACCCAGCAAGACTGGTAAATTTTAGAGAGAGTTGGGTGGAAATCCACCCCGTGGTGACAGGGGAGAGAAAGACCCAGCAAGACTGGTAAATTTTAGAGAGAGTTGAGTGGAAATCCACCCCGTGGTGACAGGGGGAGAGAAAGACCCAGCAAGACTGGTAAATTTTAGAGAGAGTTGGGTGGAAATCCACCCCGTGGTGGCAGGGGGAGAGACAGACCCAGCAAGACTGGTAAATTTTAGAGAGAGTTGGGTGGAAATCCACCCCGTGGTGACAGGGGGAGAGAAAGACCCAGCAAGACTGGTAAATTTTAGAGAGAGTTGGGTGGAAATCCACCCCGTGGTGACAGGGGAGAGAAAGACCCAGCAAGACTGGTAAATTTTAGAGAGAGTTGGGTGGAAATCCACCCAGTGGTGACAGGGGGAGAGAAAGACCCAGCAAGACTGGTAAATTTTAGAGAGAGTTGGGTGGAAATCCACCCCGTGGTGACAGGGGAGAGAAAGACCCAGCAAGACCGGTAAATTTTAGAGAGAGTTGGGTGGAAATCCACCCCGTGGTGACAGGGGGAGAGAAAGAGCGAATGGGTCTCAATGTGTCTCTGTATCTCTATGGGTCTCTATGAGTCTATATGTTGTATCTCTATGGGTTTACGATGTGGTCCATAGTTTGAGTTGCATGCCCACAATCGCATTCTCTCTCTCTCACTCTCTCTCTCGCTCTCTCTCGCTCTCTCTCGCTCTCTCTTGCTCTCTCTCGCTCTCTCTCACTCTCTCACTCTCTCACTCTCTCTCTCACTCTCTCTCACTCTCTCTCTCACTCTCTCTCTCTCTCTTGCTCTCTCTCGCTCTCTCTCTCACTCTCTCACTCTCTCACTCCCACTCTCTCTCTCTCACTCTCTCTCTCACTCTCTCTCACTCTCTCTCGCTCTCTCTCGCTCTCTCTCTCTCACTCTCTCACTCTCTCTCTCTCTCGCTCTCGCTCTCTCTCGCTCTCTCTTGCTCTCTTGCTCTCTCTCTCGCTCTCTCTCTCGCTCTCTCTCTCACCGCTCCCAGCTCCAGCTCGACCTCCAGGCAGGAGCAGCAGACCCCGTGCGGTGGCGCCCAGGAGTGGCGCAGGCAGCGAATGGCGAACCACGCCGCGTAGCCACAGAAGCCCATGCTCAGTAGCGCCGTCACCAGCAGGGCCGCGTTGGCGCCGCGCGCCAGCTGGTCGTGTGCCGTGTACTGCGCGTGGTCAGCGAGGTGGCAGCGGTGGCACCCGTGTCATTCACAGCAGCAGCAGCAGCAGTTTTTTTTTACATTTTCATTATATCCTTAATATTTTTCAATTATGTGACTTTTTAAAAAGATTTCATTCTTCATGACTTCATTATTATTGTAAAAAATAAAATTGCAGTTATTCTTTTCCGCTTTTATTATTTCTATACTATTAATTACTTATTATAAAATTGTATTATTATTGTATTTAGGTTATTTTATTACTTTAATCGATTCTAATCAATATCATATTTTTCTTTTCATTGATTGTAATTTATATTATATTATTATATTTTATTATTATAAAAATTGTTTTTACAATATATGTATTTTTTTTACCAAGTAAGGTCCCACTGAACTACATGTAGCTCTTTTTCACACAAGTGACCTGGCCATCACAAACAATAGCTCAACAAGAGCGGCTTATCATCGTCGTCATGTAGACATTCATAGCCTGCGTCGATTCTCAATGTGGAGGGAGGCGGGGGGACCTGGAGTACACGGAGAAAAATCCGCGCGACCACCGCGAGAGAGAGCAAGAGAGAGAGAGAGACACGCAAACTCCAAATATACAACAGGAATCGTCAGGGTTGGGGTCGAAACCACGACGACTTTCTGCATGCCCAGATGGGGTAGTTAACATCTCACCACCGTGGTGCCCATTTACCAAGCAACCTCTCTATTTTGCTTTGTTTCACCACCGTACAACCGTGCCGTGCCGAGCCAGCCCGGGTTTATTTTTTCCACTGCGGTGGCCGTGCCGTGCCGTGAGCGAGCGGCCGCTCACCTCATTGAAGACAAAGATGTCCATGCTGGAGTGGATGTAGGCGAGCTCGTCGCGGCTGAAGTGCAGCGTGAGGGCGGCGTAGATGAACACCGCGAGGCAGGCAGCCGCGGCGCTCAGGGAGCCCAGCAGCCATGCGAGCACCTACACACACACATGCACGTACACACACACATTCACGTACACACACACGCGCGTACACACACAAACATGCACGTACACACACACACACGTACACACACACGCGCGTAAACACACAAACATGCGTACACACACACACGCGCGTAAACACACAAACATGCGTACACACACACACGCGCGTACACACACACGCGCGTACACACACACGCGCGTACACACACACACGCGCGTACACACACACGTGTACACACACAAACGCACGTACACACACATGCACGTACACACACATGCATGTACACACACACGCGCGTACACACACAAACATGCGTACACACACACACGCGCGTACACACACACACGCGCGTACACCACACGCGTACACACACGTACACAACAACAACCGCCATTCGCCACGAAGTGGTGGTGACGTCACCACGACGCTTGTGCCAGGCCATGTGCACCTTGGCCTCACATGTACACACACACGCGCGCACACACACACACACACATGCGTACACACACATGCATGCACACACACGCGTACAACACACGCGTACACACACGCGTACACACACGCGTACACACACACACGTACACACAACACGCATACACACACACGCGCACACACACACATGCGTACACACACACGCGTACACACACGCGTTCACACACACACGTAAATACAACACGCATACACACACACACGTAAATACAACACGCATACACACACACGCTTACGCACACATGCATACACACACACATACGTACACACACAAAGACAAAAATCACCTGTATAGCCTGAATAGATTGTTGGGGCAAGTGCTGTTAGCGAGCACCTATGAAGGCCGGCACGGCTCACGTGGGGGTGGGTGGCCAGCACCACGCCCGGCCGCCTTTGTCTCCCCAATGACGATGTTTACACATCGCGCCAGTTATTATTTGAGGCTGAGTCGACCAAACGGAGGAGGCCCAGGAACGGTTCAGATAACCATCACTGGCGTTGGCCGTGAGCTGAAACCGAACCTGGGTTACTGGGTTCAGAGCGCTGCGTGCTAACCGCTGCGGCACCGCTCCCCACTATACACACCACAACAACAGCTCCCATTTACCGCTAAGTAGCAGTGACGTCACGGTGACACTTGTGCCACGGTGGCAGAAGGTCATGGGACCAACCCAGGTGCCATGTGTTGACTGACTGAGATGACTGGAAGATGCACCAATTGTGCTCCCCAGCGTGCCAAATTTCTGTATTTTATCTGCCCAGCGCTCCGTTTGCTGTTGTGAGCGTCACTCCTCTGCCCTCCACTGTTGTTGGAGAGCGACTGCCTCCAACTGCTCAGTAGCATCCTTCACGAGCCTCCTCCACAGAGGCCGATCATGACACCGCTGGTACCAGTGTTCGGCAAGTCCACTCAGCTCCACATCCTTCTGTACCAACAGCCCACATCCATATTATTTGGCAGTTTCCTGATACGAGTGTCCACCACTCATTAAGCCAGAACCAGTCCATGGGACCTATTGTATTCCGCAGAGGTCCAGGCGGTACCGGTACAGTTCCCAACAGGTGAGTGACAGCCTCTAAACCACAGTGAGTGTCCGAACAGTCCACATGGCCACTCACAGTGGCTTTTTGCTGTTTCTGGAGGAACCCTGAGGGTTCAGTCTCCTGGCTCTGCCAAATGGGGGTTTGGCCAGGAGATGTCATAAACACCTGTATCCCCCCGGGGTCTCAGCACAGGCTTAGTTTGATATTTAAATCGTGGTTTTGTGGTCATTGAATTGAAGGTGGAGGGGTTTCCAGCCCCTCGCACATGTGCTCTGGCCATGGTAGGTAGGAGATGTTAACTACCTCGCCTGGTATAAAGGAGGTCGTGGGTTCAATCCCGACCCTGATGCCTGCTGCTGTATATTTGGAGTTTGCGTGTCTCTCTCTCTCCCCGTGGTTGTGTGGATTTTTCTACGGGTTCTGTGGTTTTTCCCCTCTACATTAACAATCAACATCACGTCTTTAGAGCATTTGGCCACTACAAAATTCCACGTGATGATAGGCCACATCATTGAGCTATCATTTATGATAGCAAGGTCGCTTCTGAAAAAAATCTACATAGCTCAGTGGGCCTTACCTGGTAAAATAAAAAGTAAAAAAAGTGTTTACATCCAGGTCTCCCCATTGGCCACTGTGGTGGCTGTGAGTGGCTGTGAGTGCTATGAGGGAAACAGCCCATTGAAATCGGCCTCCCTCCGCCTCCCCCCCCCCCCACCAATGGCATTGCTCATGACCACCACAGTGTTACCGACCGGCAACCACCGTTGAGGTGCGGCTTGTGTTTGCACCTGCCCCGGCCCACTAAAGACACCAAAGATCCCCCGTGTCGCCTTGAACAGACTACTAGGACAAAGAGGGGACGCCCAGGGCCAGTTCAGATACTTGTCACCGGTGTTGGCCGTGAGCGGGAATTGAACCCGGGGTCGCTGGGTTCGTAGCGCAATGCGCTAACCGTTAACGCTATTGCTCCCCAGCTGCAATGACACACACGCACGTGCACACACACACGCACGCACACACACACACACACGCACGTGCACACACGCACGCACACACGCACGCACGCACACACGTGCACGCACCACGTTGATGTTTTTGTTGAAACCTGCGGAGAGCGCGAGGACTCCCGGCACGGCCAGCAGCTACGGACACAGGCCAAAGCAGGAGGAGCGTCAGGCGCGGCTACGTTCGAGTGAGCGACATCCGCGCCCACGCATGCAACAACGACGACGACGACGATGACGACCACGACGACCATCATCAGAGGCTCCGCAACGAGTCTGTGGAGAGACACCTCTCTTCAACCGTAGAGGTGCGAGCATAATTGTGGGGAGGGCGAGGACTCTGGTTGTGCCCGTTGGGAGGGAGGGAGCATTGACTCCATCCTTCGGCTCATTCGGCAGGGTTCTGGGCGTTGGGCAAGAGGTTGGGCAGTGCGGAGGAGGAGCTTCCTGGACATCTGTGAAAAAGAGCATCATAGCTCATCGGATTCCTCCAGAATAAATAAATATTCTAATTCTCATGCTCTAGCCATCAACTAAGCTTTCTCCCACCCGAGTCACCTACAAATGCTTCGGCTAGAGGGCAGAGCTACCTCGGCGGTGGGCGGAGCTACCAGTGGTGGGTGGGGCTACTCGAGGTGGGCGTGAATAGCAATTGAATGGGCGTGGTCATGTAAAAGTGGGCGGGTCTGACACAGGGATGGAGGGCGTTGGATGCCAACTGACCATGTAAGAAAGCCAGCGACTTCTATCAGAAGGGGCAGGTCCGGGAGTCGGGCCGGAGTGGGAGGAGTTATCCTCACATGTCTCATGGCGGCCATAGGTGAGTACAACACAGCCCCGCCCCCCCCCCCCCCAAAAAAAGGCCGAAAACCCTGCCGCCCCCAGCTGGTCTCCAAATGGCCGAGGTGTTTGCTTGCGACCACCTCTTCCCGGAGCCTCCCTCCGCTGCCACCCACTCACCGCTCCTCTTCATGATACATTGAACGTCTACATTATCGTTGTCGTTCTCGTCGTGAGCCATGGTCTGTCAACTGCTGGATTAAGCCATTGACTGACGCCACTTTTTAGGAGCTTCCCTACTTCACTGAAGTCGGCCAACCATCCCCATAAATATAGGAGCAAAGAGCTTGGGCAATTAAATGTTGACATCGGTTCCGGCTGTCTTCTGTGGTTTCCAGTGGCTCGGAATATCTTTCTATCACTCCCCCGATTTAATTAAATCTGCGCACATTACAAATTTTATATCATCATTAGCGATGGACTATCCACTGCTAGATGATGGCGCCAGCTTGTCCGGCTCATAGCCATTTTTCTGGAGAAAGCACTAACGTTTACATCATCATTATAGTCATCGTCATCAATTTTAACATCATCATCATCAACATCGTCATTATCGTCATCATCGTCGTCATCATCGTTGTCATCATCATTATCATCACAATCATCGTCATCAGCACAATCATCGTGACAATCATCATCGTCATTATCATGGTCATCATGGTCATCATCATCATCGTCATCATCACCAACATCGTCATCGTCATTATCACGGTCATCATGGTCATCATGGTCATCATCATCGTCATCATCGTCATCATCACAGCTCCTTGCCACGTGCGCCACCCCGCTCACCGCGCCGGCCACGATGGGGATGCGTGTCTGCACGAGCGCCGTCTGCCGCCGCATGGCCATGTCGACGAAGCCGAGCGCCAGCACGGCACAGGCGAGCACGAGCTGCACCACGCCCAGCGCCAGCGCCACGGGGCTGTGCAGCAGGAAGTACACTGGGGTGGCAGAGGTGGCGGTGGTGGCGCTCTCGGCCGAGTCGGTGAACCCGCCGAGATCTTTCCTCCTCCCGGGCCGCCCCGCGCCCTCGTCCCTCGCCATCGCCTGCTCCGTCACGTCCGGTAGCCGGGCGGCCATCTCTTCCTTCTGGTTGCCTAATCGAGGGGTTACAGTGGGCGGGGGGGGGGTGCGGTTGTTTGCTGGTTAGGGGGGGGGGGGTGACTGTGGGAGTCAGGGAGGGGGGTAACATCCAGGGCCGATGGTCATGAATGGAGGTGAAGGAGTTTGGGGAAGGAGGGGACCATTGACAGCAGAGGGCAAAGGGATTTGGGAATTGGGCAGAGGTGTTAAGGGTGATGGGATTGGAGCGAGGGATTGGGGTGAGCAGTATAGGTAAAGGCTGATAGATGGATGTGATGGATGGAGGTGAAGAATGTTGGGTTCAGGGTTCAAGAGTGAGAGATTGAGGTAAGGGTTTGGGGGGTCAGGGTTCAGGAATGAGGGGAAGAGGTTAGGATTGTGGATATTGGTTGTGATTGGTTCATAGACACCACAGTCACTATATATGAGTCACAATACTGCATCACCGCTGCCCACATGCACTTTAGAGGGAAACTACTCCCAGTAGCATCCTTCACGAGCCTCCTCCACAGAGGCCGAACTTGTTTTTTCTGGAAGACTTTGCTGTTTTTTCCAGGATTTTTCTGTTGCGTGTAGTCACTTTAAGATGTTTCTTGTTCATGTTTTGTTTTGTTGCGGTTGCACCCGAGTCAAGAGCCGTATGGCTCACAGGGTTATACCTATATTCTTAGTTTTTTCGGTAAAGTCACGTTGAAGAGAAACAACAAAATAACAAAATATATATAAAACAATAAAAATTCTCACGACGTTTCGACCATAACTCAAACGGTCATCATCAGGTGTGTCGGTTTGCATAAATTTATTTTGAAAACGGCATATTTATTTATTTATATATATAAAAATAACGTTTGCGTCACGCGCAACGATTGGCTGTTTGCCAGGACTAGTCCATCTATTTTTTGAAAAGAGGAGGGGGGAGACGAAATTTGTTTTTATGTATGCTGTCTGAAAGCCACTGTAAGCGTGAACAATCAATCAAGAACTGAAATGATTTATCAAATCTTTCCAATGATTGCTAAGATAGAATCCATCTTCTCGGTTGAAATTGTCTCTGTGTTTGTATATGTGGATAGCCTCATGAACGAATCTCTCATGGAAGCCAGATGGCTTACAAAGAACCTCCGTCTTGGAAAAGTCAATGGCATGTGAGCCTACTGAATTAGAACAATGATCTGCTACGGCCGAGGTGTTGGTCCTACCGTGTTTAAGGTCTGCTTTATGTTCACGAATGCGGTCCGAGATATGGCGTTTGGTTTCTCCAATGTAACTACTACCACAGAGGCAACTTAGTTTGTAGACACCAGGGTATTGTATGTCCGGAATCACATCTTTTACAGACGGAACCAGATCACGGATTTTATGTAATGTGTTGAAACGGACCTGGATCTTGTGTTTATTCAAGATTTTGGAGATCTTTTTTGTGATCCCAGCAATGTAGGGTAAAGTGATGGTTTTGAAAGGCTCCTCAAGAGGGTTCTTCTTCATGGTTTGAGTGATAGCTTTGCGGATTGTATAGTCGGAGTAACCATTAGCCCTAAGAGCTTGGTGTACGTGCTTGAGTTCACTGCTTATGTGTTCCTGGTCGGATATGCATTGGGCTCTATGATACAGAGTCTTGATGAGAGAATTCTTCTGTGATGGATGGTGGTGGGAATCCGGTTTCAGATAAGCATCCGTATGGGTAGCTTTCCTGTAGACAGAGTGGCTCATTGAACCATCAGGTCTCTTTTTAATTAGGACATCCAAAAAAGGTATCTTGCCATCTATTTCGACTTCCATGGTAAATCTGATGGCTGGGTGTATGGAATTGATGTGGTCGAAGAATTGGTCTAGAGCAGGCCGTCCATGTGGCCAGATGACAAAAGTGTCATCCACGTACCTCTTCCATAAGGTTGGGCGCAGAGTGGCAGTCTGGATTGGCAAGTCCACTCAGATCTACATTCTCATGTTCCACATCATTCCATCTCTTCTCTAGCCCATCCCACACCCGTTAAGCCCCCACTATCCAGCCAAGCAGAAACTGCTTGGGCATGCGTTGGTTGGGCATGCCGACAACATGACCCAACCAACGCAGCAGTTCACCAAAGGGAATGTGTCCAGATCTTTCAAGGATTTGTGAGCTCCTCACACAAGAGATCCTAGTTAAACCCTGGATGGATCGTAGGCAGGCCAGTCTGAATGTTTTTAACCTGCGCAGATGTTTCACCAAAGGACTCCACGTTTCGCAAGCAATGAATGGGGGGGGGGGGGGGGGGGGGGAGGTGGCATGACCGTGGCCAAGAAGAATCGGAGCTTCATGTGGAGCGACAGGCCAGATAGCTTCCACACCGCATTACGCAGCTTATAAAACGACAATGCCACTCGATTTAAAAACTCATCCAGTCATAAGCGCACTGCCCAGGTATGGAAACTTCTCTCTCTCCACAACTTCCCCACCACCAATAGGGAGTGAAGGGGGTAGAGATAAAATCCCAGGAAAGTGCTTTAATTTGCAACACTGATGGTAAGGCCCCATCTCTTAGTAAGTTCTGCATCAAAGTATACAACTCATGAGTGAGCAGCAACTCCAAGATCATCAGCATACGCAGCATGGTTGACCAATAGGGAGCCTTTCCTTTACTGCACCCAAGCATGGATAAGCCTCCCTTTGTATCTATACCAGATGGAAATTCCTCCGGTATAGCCATATAAAGCATCATTAACTACATAGTGGTCAAAAATGATGTTCAATTATGTAGAGGCCTAAGGACATCCCTGTCCCATTCCAATGTGAACAGGGAATGGGTCTGTCTCGCAACCATGCAAATTTACCTGGGCCTGCCCACCATCATGAAGGTCCTGAATGGTTGTGAGCAGAGGGTCATGGACCCCAAAAGCATTTAGAATAACTCAGAGCCCTGGCCAAGTTTTGAACCATAGGCCTTGACGAGGTCAATAGTGTAGAGATGGAGGTCACGTTGAAATTCCCTATACCTCTGCTATAGCAGATAGACAGAGAATATGGTGTCCGTGCAGGACCGCCCCAGTCGGCAAGCCTCTCCTCAGTGTGCTTGGCAAGGCGATGAGAATTCTTGCCAGGACCTTTCCCAGTATACTGGGGAGGGAGATGCCCCTGTAGTTGTTACAATGTGTGTGGTCCCCTTTCTTAAAAAAGGGGAGCATCAGGGCATCCTTCCAATCCTGCGGAAGCCATCCTATGGACCAGACAATAGCAGTAATGTCATATAGGGCAGCCTGCACACAAATACCATCCTCCCAAAAGGAGTTCACTTCAGAGGTCGTCTCTGCCCAGGGCTCTATGTAGTCTCAGGCTCTGGATCGCCTTTCACACTTCCTCAACAGACGGCAACGTCAGCCAGTCACTCTCGGGAGATTGCTACTTCCTACAATATTTGAGGTATTGCAATCCCAGCAGGGTCAACCCCAAATTACCCCTCAGGATTTCCCCCTTCCCCAAGCCCTGAGCAAACCTAAAACCGTTCCTGGGGAGTCAGAGCCCTGGCCTATTATTGTAAGGATGGAAACAAGTTTGGTCCTGCAAGTTACTTTTTTAATATGACGTTAAAGAGTGACTTATGATCACACACTACTGAGGCAGATTCCATCTCCTCGGCAACCTGCGACCACCAGTACAATAGAGCCTTCCAAACTTCTGAGTGAAGGCTGCAGGAAACCTGCTCATTCTCGAATGTTGTATACGGTGGGAGTGGGCCTGCTGTTTTCTCTCAGCTCGTTGGAACACCTCGGTTCAGAGTCCTGAACCTTAGCCATTTCCCCTCGGTATGAGAAGGGAAGACGATATGAACTCCAGCTTCAAGCGATGATGAAATTCACACTTACAACCTTCATCAGCTTGCCAAGTGCAGGCTATATTGGGTTTTATTTAAGTCCCAGGTAGACACCCATCACCGCAGTGGAAGAATGGCAGGCACATCTTATAAATGACAAGCTGATGGTCAGTGGGCAAAACAGCTCCACGGCAGGTCCTGGTGTTAAGGACAAATCCAGCAGATGTTCTTGCTTGGACCAGGCATATATCCATGATGTTATGTGGATGTTCCGATACCAGAACAGTGTGTTGGTAATGACAAGCCCATGGGTTGCAGAGAAGTTTGGCAGCATCCTTATCGTTCCTATTGAGCTGGCCTGGCCCATGCCTTTCATTCACTTCAGCCTAGGTGCAGGCATCTTGACCCACTCAGGCATTAAAGTCACCCAACAGGATGACTCTATCCCGAGGGGCCACTTTAGCCAGCACATGAGACAGCAGGCTGTAGAAGGCATCCGACTCAACGGCCTTGTCTGCGTCCCTCCACTGATGTTCATCTTTGATTGGGGCATAAGCCACCACCCCCATTTCTCGCCTCCCGTTGATGGGGAGGCGAGCTCACAGCAGCCTGGGACTCACGGCTTCCTACACCCCGCTTCCACACTCCCACACCCCCTTTCATTCTCTTGTTCAAAAGCAGAGCCACTCCTTGTTGGGCAGCTTCCTGCCCCGAGTGGAAGACTGTCCACCCTTCACGATGACTGGAGCCATAACCAGTTCACCAGACCTCCTGTGCTTGACACAAGTCCACGCACAGGTCCAGTTCCCGACAGAGGAGTGACAGCCTCTCGTCCACAGTAGGCATTCGCACATTCCACGTGGCCAACCACAGTGGCTTTCTGTTTTTCGAGGAACTCCGAGGAGGGGGTGGTTCAGAGTCCCAACCAGAATCTATGTTTAGACGATTGCAGGAGGAATCTGATGAGCTATGAAGCTCTTTTTTTCACAGATGTCCAGCTGGGGCACGGGGTCAGAACGTTACAACAACAAACAGTTACAAAAACACGATATGAGTGCGAAATAGAGATAAAAGGTATGCAAGTCACGAAATAATAAATAAATATAAGGTACAGTAGCTTCTCGATGGGGAGGATGGCTGCAGATAATTCTAAATCGCGGATAATTCACAAATACCAATTTTATGCGAATCTCGATGCCAAAAAACAATAATATAGGTATAAATTATGTTTAAGTTTCTCTGCCATCACACACCTTCGTCAATTAAAACTCACAAAATAACTGATCGGATAAATCACTCAAAACTGACGAATTTGATTGCTACTCTTTCGATTTAGAACGAATACTAACGATCTGTCTTCTGGGTTATTTCGGTAAAGTCATGTAGAATGGGAATAAAATAATAAATAATAATAACAGAATGTTGGGGCAAGTGCTGTAAGCGAGCACCTATGAAGGCTGAAAAGGCACAC